GAGGCATTAGTAAAATGAGGTGTGGTTTCACCTCAGTAGTGAAAAATAAGTTGACCCATCCAATTTCGTCCCATTGTAGCCATACAATGTGTTGACGCCGGGCTGCATTTTAATTTGCAACGAGTTTCCAAATTTCTCGTTTTGGCGGAGAAACTGCGAAGAATGTTTGAGGAAATAATGTTGCCATTGTTTAGGTCAAAAGACGCATATAACCATGAGCCCATGAAAAAATAGTGTTTTATTTTTGCCACCATCCATTGACCGAAAAACCCACAAACCTAAATAGGCGTCATTTACTGATTCCTAGTACTATTGAATATAATACTATATTCTGATGCAATTGGAACCTTTCCAACTTTCCAACTTGCAGATCAGATAATTTTATCAATCAAGATTTAGGCAAAAAGGGCAGTTTTGGAGCAGAAAATGTCGAAAAAAGAGCATTTTTACTTGAAATTTGTTCAGGAAACAAACATTTCAAGTGCTCCTGAGACCAGATGCTTCAGAAGATCCATCCAAAAATTTGAAAAATGCGCCTTTTGAACCACTCTGTGGATTTAGTGATGAAATTTAAAATGTTCACGCCTGCAATCAGACAACTTTCAGGCAAAATTTTGGTTTTGGACCAGAAAAGTCTGATAATTTAAAATTTGGAAACTGGGAAACATTTCAAGTACTCGGAAAATTGTCTGAAGGAATTGAACGTTCTCAAATGTGCAAATCAAAAGTTTTTATGAAACGAAATAGTCATAATGTTGGTTTTGAAACAGAAAAGTGTCAAAACTTTGAGCTTTCTACTTGAAATTTGCGCTAAAAGCTCGCAAGCATTTCAAGTACTCTTTGGATTGTTTGTTGAAATATTTCAAACGTGCAGGCGAGGGGTTTTTAGCAAGCAAGATCCAGTCAAAATTTTGGTTTTGAAATGACAAAATTGCCAAAAAGCGTCTTTTTACTTGAAATGAAACATCCCAAGTACTTTGGGGATTCTCTGACGAAATTGAAACTTTTACAACATCTAGTACAATCAGGACTCTTTTTCAACTAACGGTTCTCCCAACTGAAAAATCATCAATATTCCAAGCGTGTTTTTTGGCAGATTTGTAACAAATTGCTTGTGAAGAACATTTTATCCCCTCTGAGGAAGAGCAACTTTGTTGGATGCAAAGGCTTCTCGCGAATTTCTTGTGGGTTACTTTCACACTCAAAGCGACAATTCTGCTTGTGCACAAAATCATTCAACCAAAAATGTGCTTCAATAGCTGATGGTTTTTTTCAAATTCTTGATCAACTTCAATCTCCTCCAAAGCCCTAGCGGCAAAACCCTACATGCCTTTGATGGTAAATGCTTTTCAGTTCTTGAATGGATTCAACTTATAGCAAGCAGAGAACGCCGATTTTTTTGTTATTAACATTGCGTTTGAAGATAAAAACTCTCCAGTTCTCCAAGCACTTTTCTACATTTGCTTATATGTTTTTTATCATTTATATCACACAAGTTGACTTGACTGCAAAGTAAAAATGTCATTAATCTAAACCATTCTAGTCTAGTTAATGTACGCAAAAAATGTGCTTGTTAGGCCTAAAGTTCCGCTTTCAATATGCCTGTTTTGTACACTGTGGTCGGGACGCAAAAAAACTGAAACTGTCCATCAGGCTGAGAAGTTTTCGGTTGAATTAACCCCCAGAACATTTATTAGGCACGTCCATCATCTTCTGTCCTGTGACAGTCTCCCCCTTTTATGAATAACTCTGCAAGCTCACTGTCAATGTGAAGAAGTTGCGGAGGAATTGAAAGACCCTTCGCTTGTAGACAAGTGCCCTTTTTTGCACAGCGGCCCAATAAGTCAGAGCGCCGAGACAAGAGTGGCGTGTTTTGGGTTAAGCTGTGAATCCAATTAGAAACCATTATGTAAACTCAATCACTACCGAAAATTGATTCCCTTTGCACTGGATATTGGGGGCTTCTAATTATCCTGCAGAAATTACTATCGATTTGGGTGTTTACATGCTGAACCACTGCGTGTCGTAACCGTTGACCGCGCTCACTCCGGATCCTCGATATCTAACGATGCAAAACATAATTGCTAAGTTCTCGTGAATGCCCGCCCTCGAGCTGAGTTTCCTTCGGGGAACATTTAGCCAGACTTTTCGCAGAAGCGAATGAATAGCGCAACTAGGAAAAACCGCCTGATCCACACGCTCCTGATTGCGGGATTCACAATACTCGATGACAGGATAGGTATCCGATTTGGGCGATTTTCTGGTTTAAATATGTCATAATTACGCGAGGGCTTGTCCCAAAACGAGCACAAAGCTGGCAATTTGAATGTGGATAGTCAAGAGGGTTTCACCCCTTCAGATGCTCGGGATTAATCAGGAATCGTTTGTGTCGTCGTAGGAACAAAACAACATGAATTATTAATCAGCTTCATTCTTCTTGTTCGGTTAGCACGAATTGGGAAAAATCCCTACTTGAAATTGGAAACTCATTAGGAAAAACACCGCCCACTCTCTCCCGTTAAGCTTCCATTCTGATTCCAAGGCGACCCAGAGCAATTACGAACGTGACCATTTGCGCCGAATATGAATAATTAATTTCGGCGACAAAATAAAATTAATTCCTCTCTTTATTATCCGATTTTCCATTCGCTTTAATTAGACGAGGAGCTTTTCCGAGTTTTGTGTCGGGCATTAATTGCCAGCAATTCCGAAGATGAAGCCCGGATTCTGTCGCAAACAAGCACATTTACAGATCCTCGGGGATTTGCCCGGCTGTCTAGACGTGCTGAAACATGCACGAAATTAACGGGTTGGCACAGCAATTGATTGATGGCAACACGTTTCAAATATTTGCGGATTTTCGCCCCAAATCTACTCAGTACCAATCATTGCACAAAGTCCTGAAGCGCCTGAATTGCGATGACGCGTACAACCATACACACATATACAGGTTTTTCCCTATACTTCAACACCCCCTCACTGCAGGGGTTATTTGAAAGTTTTCCATTTTTCGCTGTTCCTGTTACCAGCATTTTCGGTGGGAGTTTGGACATATTGAGTACTCTTATGCACAAACATGTACAGAGGCCAACCTGCTGAAAACGTTTGACAATAAAAATTGCGCGACCGATTGTTTCAATTTTTACTCCAAACACCGTAAACTGGTATAATTGGGAAGCTCCAGAGGACTAAAGCAGTCTAATAACTCGCATATCGCAAGACATCTATGATCGCTTTCACAATTAAGAGCGATCTTAGAGCCCTAAGACAAATGTCCTATATATGTTCCTATATATGGGAACAAAACACACATGTCTGACACTGTTAAATATCTTGGGGTAGCCCTGGATAAGAAGCTGTTGTTTAAAGAACATGCGGAGCAGAAAACAAACAAGGCGATCAGGGCTTTATGGACCTGCAAACGCACTTTTGGAAAAACAGGGGGAATTTCACCGAAGATGGTGTAGTGGACGTACGTCACCATTGTGAAACCCATAATCACATATTCCCCCGTCATATGGTAGCATAGAACCAAAATCAGCACATATCGACAGTCCCTGAACAAAGTTCCTGTTGCAAAGTAGGAGACACTCCTGGGGCTGGAGCCGTTGCATTTATCCATTGAAGCTGAGGCCCTAAGAAGGGCTTAGCGGATGGGTGACGATGTCCTCAGGAAAGCGACGAATTTGGGACACAGTGCGATCTTCACAAAATTGAAGACAGTCGAACCCATGGGATCAAAAGCTGATCGAATCAAAACTCTAAGCATCTCGGTACCTTTTAGAACATAGTTCTAAACGAGGGGCGAGATGGTGGAGAGACTCCATCAGCCATCACAGGGGACTCCGTATGGTACACGGAGGGCATAAAAACAGAGTTGGGCACAGGCGCTGGTATAGTCAAAAGAGGAAGAACTGGGGAAAGGATCACCTTAAACCTGGGTACAACTACGACAGCTTTCCAAGCAAACATCCTAGCAATAACAAATTGCGCCCGGAAAATGAAGGAGGGAGCCTACACACGTAAGCACATTACCATCGTAACCGGAGATGAAGCCACAATAAAGGCATTAGAACCGTACACAATCAGGTCACAATGTGAGCTAGATTGTGTAAAAGAACTTACAACCCTGGCCTGGAGCTCAAACAGAGTAAAACTCACTTGGACAACTGGTTCGAACAGGAACAAAGAAAACGAGATTGCTGCGGAACTTGCTAAGGCAGGGACCGAGAAACCACTGACCAACCAAGAACCTGCTTGCGGTATATCTCATGCCCA